TCTCTTGCCAACCTGAGGGCTCCTTTATGCTCCAGTTCTGTGCCCTTCCTTTGCTTTCCTACGCGATCCTTATGGCGAGGTGGGTGGCTGGTATGTTGTTAGCTGCTCTCAGGCTCCAGAGCAGGGCCAGACCAGGCTGTTGTGACCCAGAGGATTTGCATTGGCTGACTTTTGGAAGCAGATCCTCAGGTCTGCCTTTCTAGTCTGTCTGAGTCTGGAAGCTCCTCTAACATTTATTCGGCATCATAGCAGCCTGCCGGCCAGACAGACGGCTGCAGGTGGCACACGAGGCACCTAGGCCCAGAATGGAAGCCAGGGTCCCCGTGGAAAGCCAGATTTCCATCACTCAGTCACCCTCCACCACACTCTTAGTGTGGGCCTCCAAGGGCCTGCTTGGAGCTAGAGGGGACCTTGGCAACTTACTCACTGGCAGTTGAAGACTCAGGGCTACAGAAAGGTGCTGATGTGGCTGGGGACACACAGCTAAGCAGGACGAAAAAGCAGTGGTCCTAACACACATGTGCACAGGTCAGCAGCGATTGCGCCAGCCTTTTCAAGAATGAAGAGTTTGTCTTTCTCTACAGAGGCAGGAGCAGTGTGAGATGGTGTGTTATTGTGGTGTCGTTTCTCTCTGTAGCCATGAGGCTGGGACAAGGGCTTTTAGAAGTCCCTTTCTAAGGTCTTACCTAATAAAGTCAGGTTTGGGGGACAATTTAAATAAACCTGCATCTCCCAGGAGGTCTAGAAAGCCACTCCCATGCTTGGGGGCCTTGGAGGAAATGGGGGTGACTGGAAGCAGCCACCCAGGGCAATGTGCCTGCTTTCCCTCTGTGGCAGCTGGGAGAGGGATGGAAAGGCATGCCAACAGCTGACTGGTGACAACCAGCCTTCACCACCAGGGTCTCACTGGTAACAAGTCCCCGGCTTCTTCACACATCTCCTTGGGAAACCACTGAGGCAGGGGCGTTGGAGCCACCGAAGCAGGGGCGGGCAGGAGGGACTGGAGGCAAGTGTGGGTACGGAGCCTGAATCAGTTACGGCCGTGGGGAGAGTGGACCCCGAGGCCACGAGAGACCCAGTGTGCACCACCAACTCTCTGTAGAAAGTCAGCGATTGTAACAGGAGCTGCTAGTAAGCACAGACTTACCTGTGCTTATTTACTCATCTGTGAAGAGTTTCTTTTCTTTTTTTTTGCCACATCAAAGGTTCCATTTCTAGATATGGCTGGCATCTGTCTCTCCCCAATAGGATCAAACTCTGTTTTCAATGTTATAGTGCCTGTTGGTACAGCATGTAACCAGCAAGCAGGGTAAGCATGGGCTTACTTATACTTACTAATCTGTAGTGAACAATTTCCGTGTTTCTCATCACATCATCTGTAGTGAACAGTTGCATGTGTTTTCCGATTGTTCACCTCAGTTCAGCAAGTAAGCACAAGTAAGCCTATGCTTACCTTGCTTGTTAGGTAGGTAACCCACCCCTGGTAATAGCCCTAACAACACAATGAAAGCATCTGGGTTAATTGGGAAGGAAGATGAGGAAATGAAGGATGTTGTGAACACACCTGGGTTCCCCCATCAAATCGTTCTATTCAATCAGCTCTTAATGAGACCAATGAGGGGAGGTGGAGCGGTTCGGTGGCAAGAAATGGGGGCCAGCAGGGCACAGCTCTCTCCAAGAGGCCACCCTGGCAACTGCGTCTGGAGAAACCGCCAAGTGTAGATGACATCTCTTTGGTTCCTGGGGGATCAGCTAATGAATTTACCAAAAGCATTGGCAGTTATGTTAAAGTTAGGGGGAATTAAGAAAGCGAGGCATGGATAGGGTTACTGATCTTCAGGGGAAAGCTAAAAGGATTAAACTGCGAGCTGTTAAACACCCTGGGCAGCGTGAGGAGCCGTGTGCACGGTGACGGCCCGGTAGGAGGCCTGACTGTGTGAGTGGTGTGAAGTGCAGGGATGTGCGCAAATGGGCAGCCGCAGGCCAGAGGATGGCCTTTGTTAAGCGTTTGGACCAGGCCAAAGAGCGGACAGTCTCACACAGGGCACCTGTCAGTTGTGTGCATCTGGGTGGGCTGCCGGAGTGTGCGGCAAAATTCCACAGAGCAGAAAGACTTCCCAACGCGCGGAAAGTCAACAAAGCAATGAACATTCCCAGAGTCAGGCTCGCAGCCCCCAAACGGGATGTTCTCATTCCGTCCTCGGGCCGCCATTGTCCCATTGGACACGTGAGAGCACGGAGGCCCCCCGAGGGTGAAGCACTTTGCCAAAGGAACAGCTGTAAGAAGGACTAGAGGGGGGCTTGCTGGCGTTCTTTCTGGGCCATGCAAGGCTGTTCATAGTGGCTAAAGAAGGAACGGGTCTATGATTTCAAAAACGAAAACAAACCTGAGGGTTTTGATCAAAATGATGGAGGACTCCCCCCCAGTAATGCTCTTGTTTAAATAAGACATTAAAAGACACTTGTTCACACACCTCTGCTAGGAATATCCTATCATTTTTGCTTATTCTAGAAATACCTGCTAACAGCCAACTGTGTGAAGGACATGGGAGCCTGGGGGTGTAGTGGGTTACAGGTTGGGCTGCAAGGTGGTCAGCAGTTTGAAACCACCGGCTGTTCTGCAGGAGAAAGATGAGGCTCTCGACTCCCAAGTATAGACTCTCTACTCCCATGAGGCATTATAGCCTTGGAAGCCCAGAGGGACAGTTCGACTTGGTGCTATCAGGTCGCTGTAAGTTGGCATGGACTCCATATAGTAAGTTTGGTTTGGTGGGTAGGAAAGGGAGCGCTTGTGTAATAGTGGGTACAATTCGACTGTTAACTGCATGGTCTGTGGTTCAAACCCACTAGTTCCTCCATGAGAGAAAGATGAGGCTTACTGTTCCCATCAATATCTCTAGCCTCGAGCATCCTATGGAGGCTTGCTCTGAGTTGGAATTGGCTGTAAAGCAGCAGGTCCTGTGTGTAAGAAAAGACACCCTGGTGGTGTGTGGGTGAGGGGCCGAGGGGGAAAGCGGAGGCTGTTTGCTTCCATAGTGATCTAGTCTCAGAAACCCCAGGGCGCACTTCGACTTTGCCCTGGGGAGTCACAGGTGTCTCGGCAGCAGTGGGTTTGGTTTTGGACTTGGGTGTGTAGGGTCCCGAGAGAAGCTGTTCTTTCGAGAGACAGAAAGAGGGAGGGAAGCCCTGGTTCTAGACGCGAGTGAAGAGACAGCACAGGTCAGGTCTGTGTGCCCAGAACAAAGGCCAGAAATGTGACCAAACATGAGCAGTATTTTCTCTACGTGCTGGCGTTCGGGGTAATGTAAATGTTTCTTCTCGTTGTTCCTGAGCAGTTTATAGATGGTCTACAATAAAGACAGGGTTTTAAATTTTTAAAAAGGGTCTGAAGAAATAAAGTAACACCACAACAAAAGTCTACTGGAATCAAGTCTACTCTGACTCCAGGTGACCCCATGGGCCCCGAGCACAGGTGCCCCAGAGGCTTTCTAAGGCTGGAAGCTCCTCTGAACAGACAGCCTCATTTTTCTCCTTCCGAGCAGCTGGTGGTTTCGAACTACCAAAGTTTTGAGTAACAGCTGAGTGCTTAGCCTGGATACCACCAGGGCTTCCCAGGGTAACTGGGGAGCAGGCACAAAGGAACACTAGGACATTCAAAGTAGGAGCAGTGGCGCAGTGGTTGAGGGTTGGGCTGCTAACTGCAGAATCAGCAGTTCGGAAGCACCAGCCACTCCGTGGGCGAGAGGGGTGGCTTCCTACTCCCGTAAAGAGTTACACTTTTGGAGACCCACAGGGGCAGTTCTATCCTGCCTTCCAGGCTTGCTGTGAGTCAGAGGTGCCTCGATGGCAGGCAGGCTTTTTTTATGGGGAAATCAAGAGAGGGAAGGTCCCTGGAAGGAGTATCAGGGAAGGGGAGTGGTGAACGTGAGGAGCCGCACGTACGGGAAGTGCTAAAGGAGGTGGGTCTGGAGAGGAGGCTGGGGTAGACGTGGCAGGACCCCCTGCAGGACCCCTCCAGCTTTGCATTTGTTCAGGAACCCAGAGCCAGGGCCAGGGGTCCCTGAGAAGGGCAGGCAGCATGTGGTGGGTGGGAGAGGGCTGTTCTGGGAGGGGCAAGGGTAGTGGCCGGGCAGTGTCCCCTGCTCTCTGATCTGCCTGGTTGTCTGTGCGCTGCGGTCTCAGAAAGGCCTTGGAGGCGGCAGAAGGGAAGAACAGGCGACTAGAAGCCAGAGCTGGAAGGCTGCGGCACCGGCAGGGCCAGCGTGTGTCTGCGCCTGCGCCTGGGAGGGGTGACGGATCCGGCAGGGCGAGGCTGGGGCCGGGCTCCAGGGGGGCATGGCGGGTTCCCCAGGCGTCAGATGCACTGTTGCAATAACTCATCACAACGGCCTGCCCTGGGATGCGTTCCCAGGCGCTGTGCTGGGGACCGGAGCCCCAGGACCTGAGAAGACCCGTTGGCTGCAGCCGCCCAGGCAGCCTGAAACCCTGCCTGCCTTCGCCTCCGCGGCCAGAGCCGGAGCACAGCCCAAGGCTCCCAGAGGAGCAGCGGCTTAGCCATTCAAAGGCCACATCGTTCAGGCAGGAGACCTTTTGTTTCTGGGCGAGGGCCCTGCGCCAGCCGGGGGACCGCCTTTCCCATCCCCTTGGCATTGGCAGCGCCCTCCTCCCACCCGGGCTGCCTTTCTTCTAACCTTCAGCTGTGCAGAGCCGAGAGAAGGCGGAAAAGGGGCCTTTTATAACCAAATTATCTCCGAGCATTCGTCTGCCATTATGTTAATGCATGGCGAAGCTCGGCAGATGGTACAAAGTCAATTACGCTGCGTTTTAAAAGGAGAAATTGACCTTTTCGGGACTCGCTTGGATTCCAGCGCAGAGTTTGCAAACCTCGGTGCTGGGCTGGCGTGGAGGCAAAGGCGGGCGGTACTCCGGAAGGGGCAAGGGGCCGTGGGGGATGGTCTGCACCCCTCGGACTGGCTGCCTCTGGAGGGACCCTTTCCTACCTGCACATTTTCTCAAAGAGGCCAGCGTAGCCGTCGCAGTTGGTCTTCTGGGTCCGCAGGATGTCGGTGGGCTTGAAGGCTTGCCGGTCCTTCTGCTGGGCAGCCAGGAGGTCGTACTCTGGAGGGCAGAGGAGGGCCTGTGAGGGGCCAGGCCCGGGCAGGTGGCCCAGGCGGGAGCTGAGGAGGCCGTGATGCTCTGCTCCCTCCGTGGGCTGGCATGGCCTTGCCCCTCCCTTAGAGAAGCCATCGTGGCTGAGTGGAAGCGGGCCCTGCCCTCAGGGAGCCTGGACAAGGCCGCCTTTCTGAACAGGTGCCGCCGACCGCAAGAATGAGACTGGCGCAGAGCAGGCCGCAGGCTCCTCTGGCTTGGGGTGCCCAGCAAGCAAGGTAAGCACGGGTTTCATTGTGCTTACTTACTAGTTTGTAGTGGTCATTTTCACCTTTTAGCAAGCTGTGACAAAGACTCTGCTTCCAGCTATGGCTGGCTCCTCTCTCTCTCCCAACCCCATGGCACCGCCCTATGGAAGCGAAGCCTCTCTTTCAAATGGACCATCCTTTGGAGAAAGCCCAGTAAGCAAGGTAAGTATGGGCTCACTTGTGGCTACTCTGCATCTGTAGTGAATGGTTTCACAGGGGGCCCACATTGCGACCTGTGAAGGAGTCGCAAGGCTGTGGCGAGGCCGTGAGAAGAAAACACTGTGGCCGGTAAAGGGAGAGATGGAGAGATGGAGAGATGGAGAGAGAGAGAGAGAGAGAGAGAGAGAAGGACTCCCCCCCAGTAATGCTCTTGTTTAAATAAGACATTAAAAGACACTTGTTCACACACCTCTGCTAGGAATATCCTATCATTTTTGCTTATTCTAGAAATACCTGCTAACAGCCAACTGTGTGAAGGACATGGGAGCCTGGGGGTGTAGTGGGTTACAGGTTGGGCTGCAAGGTGGTCAGCAGTTTGAAACCACCGGCTGTTCTGCAGGAGAAAGATGAGGCTCTCGACTCCCAAGTATAGACTCTCTACTCCCATGAGGCATTATAGCCTTGGAAGCCCAGAGGGACAGTTCGACTTGGTGCTATCAGGTCGCTGTAAGTTGGCATGGACTCCATATAGTAAGTTTGGTTTGGTGGGTAGGAAAGGGAGCGCTTGTGTAATAGTGGGTACAATTCGACTGTTAACTGCATGGTCTGTGGTTCAAACCCACTAGTTCCTCCATGAGAGAAAGATGAGGCTTACTGTTCCCATCAATATCTCTAGCCTCGAGCATCCTATGGAGGCTTGCTCTGAGTTGGAATTGGCTGTAAAGCAGCAGGTCCTGTGTGTAAGAAAAGACACCCTGGTGGTGTGTGGGTGAGGGGCCGAGGGGGAAAGCGGAGGCTGTTTGCTTCCATAGTGATCTAG